AAGAAAAAAAAGAACCTGGCCCACTACTTTTGGATAACCCTAAGTAGATTGATTTCATATTCAACAATAATTTTCTTCTTTATTTAATCTAATAAAGATTCTCAATTGTCAGCAAAAGTACATAATAACTCGTTTTCGTATTTTAAACAACCTATTGGGCTTCACTCTATGACAATAGAACACTTGTACCGAAGTCGCATAGGCTACTCAGACAAAAAAAATGGTACCCGGAAGATCAGAAGAAACATTTCATTGGCTCAGATGTTGAGATTGTCAGTAATAAAGGCTTCATATGTATGGGATTACAAGAATTATTTCGAAATCTCCGAGGAAAGCACTCATTTCACGACAAAAGACAGGAAATGGAAAGAGTAATGAGATTGAATTAGTTTTTTTTTGCTTCATCTGTATATCAAAATTCTTTCGCTACGAAAATTATTTTTCATGCTAAGCGTGATTGCAACGAATAGAAAGATACCTATTGAGAATGAATTCAATCTTACACTCAGCTACACTGTACAAAACTATGGATTGCAACACAAATACAAATATCGAATAATAAGAAAATCATTCTAGCAATCCATTAATATGGAGAGTTTGCTATTGCTATTTATTATCAAAAGTACATCCGACCTCTATATTTGTGGGTGGTCTTTTCGTGGATTATCTCTTAAATAGAAAACAATGATTTTAACGAGATTTACAAATCGAAATTCTTTGAGAATAATAAGAAACAAAAAGGTGCGTCAATGTTTATGTATCTGTTCTCCACCTTTATCTATCACTTGCTTTAATCGAGATTCGGTAATTTTTCCATCATTTTTCAAATCGAAATTCTTTATTATTTTCGGCAATATTTGGCATAATGTAATTTGTTCTTAAGTTTTGCTGTTTCTGCATGTTATGAACATCAGATAAAAAGAGATCGTACAATTTTTCTCTATTAATAATCATATAAATAAATAATAGAACATTGGAGTGATACGCAGGAGAACAAAACAAAAGTTACTCATGATAAGAGATTGATCGAATAACTATTATATATAAGACAAGAATATTACTTGAATAAGGAATCAGAACTTATTACACATTCAGTGTGATAATGGTGAAGTAAAGAATTCGATTTACTCAGAGAGAAAATCAAATGTCTCTCGAAAAAAAACAGTAGTATGACTAACATATAACATTCACGAAGTGATCGAAAATGTTCATGTCGTACTTTCTAATGAAACAAACTCGAATTGAAAGTCCCCATATAGTGATGTCAAAGAATCAACAGCTGATTGACGTTTTATTATTGAAAATGGTACCCTGGAATCAGCTGGTCTCAATTCAGAAGTGAAATAGAATCGAACGTTTTTTTTTCTATAAACTCTTCATAGTTTATCGAAATTTTTATTATCATGACTAAATGAATTCAATAAAATCTTATTTAGGAATATCATAAAATGTTCAAAGACCTAATAAAGCAATTTCAATTGGTGAACGCCATTTCAATTTTGCCGTATCGAGACATACTTGATAAACATTTTCATCTCGACTCGCTTCTATCCATTCTTGAATAAGTTCTTTGAATAATCTATAAATCTTTTTGGTCATTTTGATCGGTTTGAATAGAGGAAAAATTTCTTCAATTAGTTCTTCAGTCATTGCTAATCGTTTTGAACATTCGATAACATTGTCTAAGACAATATTGACAATATTGATACATTCATTATTAATTTGATCAGGAGAAGAACGCACAACACCACCCCATATCCATTGAATAAGTTTATGATAATTATCACGATCGATGGAATCCAATGGTTCATCTGCGATGAAACGTCGATTTCTTCTTAAGATCGATTCACCATGAATCATCATTACAAGACATAACAGAGCGAAGAAAATATTCGTTAGAGACATTGTCATTGTTAGTCGTTATTTAATTTTGAGATTTATATAGTCCGATTTCGAACGGCATTATATTCTCGGAATCGTCATCGTCAAAAATAACGTGGTGAAAACGTGATATCCTGATAATCATTATTGATTTACTGAGTCATATTTACTTCGTTATTTCATTCGATCTTTTGTAAAGGATGCTGATAACAATAATCAATATTATGAAAAAAAAATCCTTGAAGAAATAAATCATGAATATGATTTTGATAAAACAAATCGTCACTTGATTAATACTAATTATTGTTTTCAGTGAATTTCTGTTTGGTATGTTTTCTTGTATTAATCAAATCAAATCTCATATTGAGTTATTCAAGGAGAGAAATGATCGTCGATGAAAATTCATACTGATACGGGTATTAGTAATTTATGCTATCACCATAAACACCCAACTTTTCAAAGTTACAATAAACTTCTGCTTACTAGCACTCATACACCTCGACGAATTATACTCACTATTTACACACTTTCTATTAGCCATAGAAAAATTGTACCCTCAGTAAATACTGTAAAATGACCTCTACCAACACTAACACCTAGAATTCCTTTTATAATGCACGCTGACACTCACAGAACTTCGAAACCTACATTCTGACATCAATAAATAACATCTCCGAATAACTTTTTTGAAGAAAAAACATAGGAAATCGACCTAAAAATGTCTATAGATATTGTTTCGAGTAAAAACAATACTTCTTCACGATAAGGACTACTGTCGGTGATTTGAGCATATGAATGTATTTGAATATTGGGATCAATTTAAATGAAATACAAACGTCAATGCCGTTTGATCTTATTTTTTGCTTAGATTAGCACTGAATACTATCTATTTTGAGTGCGATACTCATTCATTCTTGTCTTGTGCTTTGTATAGTATCAGTCATTCATGGTGATCAAAACCAAGATTGATAAGCAATTAAATAATAACGCATCTTGTTGCCTGTCAACAGTGAGCTTTTTTTTTGATTTCCAAGAAAAACAATGCAAAGTCAATACTCAGATGAAGCGAGCCTGTATTAACAATGCTATTGCATTTTCTGTGTTGCTGTGAAAGCAAATTTTTCAGACACACTGCTAGAACAATGGACATAACTTAGAACAATCACACTGATCAAGCAGTATTATCAATATAAAATCTTTCTGTTTTATCTAGTTGACAGATTATGTTGAAGACGTTTAACGGCTCTATATTCGCATCAAGTACGTTTCCTTAGTCTTCGTGATAATGGTTTTGAATTTAAATCATAAATAGTACGTTCTATTGGATATCCCAGAAATAACCTACCAAACAGAAAATTGTATATCTCCACTGTACTCTGATTGCATGAATTAATATCTTTCCTGTTGACAAAGCAAAATTCTAAGTTTTGGTTCATGCATTAACAGCTTATTGACAGAGTTGTATATTACCTAATCGCTTAATACAATGATCAATCTTCTGAAAAATTTGTTTCATCTAACACTCGACATATTATCCATGAACATCGATGGTCATCAATGAAAAGAAATTACTGTCGAACATTTACCTAAGCTAAAAGTATTTCAATTTGAAATGCACTGTTGGTGCGAGTGGCTAAATTTGTTCTTCAGTTGTGATCACATCTACACCCTTTCTTAGAAGTTCAACAAGGTAGGTTTCTATTAAGTACAAAAAACAAATTAAATAATCTTAGAAAAAAAAATGAATATCAACCATCTATACTGTTGTTTTTTTTTTCGAATTCTATAAAAATCAATCATAATACATACTTTCAAAATATAGTATTTGATCTCTATTCTTTGTACTTAAATAATATTTCAATTTATTTTTTATTTCTCTTGTAATAAATTTGAAATTTATTAATGTATGTACAATCACTTAAATACGACACAAGACAAAAATTATTTTTTACAACATCAACAATCAATCAATTGTTTTTCTTTCATACAGATGTCAAAGATTTAAATCATGTTTATTAGACTAGATTTCGAGTTCGACTAGGTACAATTGCTGTAACAGTTTGAATATTGTTATCATTGAATATAGACTGTCCATATTGACCAAGAATTTTTCGAATAACTAATTTTATTCTATGTATAAATATCGAACGAAATAGATGACTTGATAATGTATAAATATAAAATGATTTTGCAAAGTTAGTATAATAAACAAGAATAGTAAAAGACGTTAAAAATGAATCGACTAATTTTTCATATCCAGTAGCTCTTAGTTTCAATATGTAATAAGCATAATAAATCATACGAGTCATTATTAATAATGAACTTAATCCTATTTGAACAAGCATCATCTATATAAAGAAAAAAAATATTTATCGACATATTTAATCTCTATCAATTACTTACTATAATTAATTGTTTATCTGTTTTTCTTTCAAGATTTTGAGTTTGATTATAAACTGTAAGATTTGTTGTTTGTAATCGAATGTGTATTCGTCGATTTTTTCGTCGGGTATTCATAATAGTAAGAAAACCAAATATTAACATTAATACATGAGGAATCATACCCGACCAAAATACGACAAACATACTATCAAATATTGTATAAGGACCTGGCATAGTAGCACATACTGGTCGAAGATCATATAAAATAAGAATATGAGAACATGATAAAAAACTAATAACAATAGCTATTACTGTTGCACGATAAGCTATTTTCATTTGACTAAATGAACGAAAACGCACACTAACTGATGATGACATATATCGATCGATAGATGATAATAAAATTAAATACATAGAAACTAATGGAATTCCAGAAACTAAATAAGCACGAAGTTTACAATATACTCGATTTGTATGTAATAGAGTACTACCAAGTTGATCATTAGCAAATCGAGTAGTAACTCCAAATATAATAGATAATAAATCAAATATAGTTGCACAAAGAAAATAGAATGCACAAGAATTCTTACGTAATTGTGTTGCTGTAAAAGTAATAAAATTACAAATACAACCAAAAATACCAAAAATTAAAATAATTATTGGACCATAGTAATTCATTTCATTAGTAACAATTTGTATTGTAGCAACTGTTGTTGACATAATAGTACAATATCTAACAATTATTATTTATCAGAAAACTAATTCTTTAATTATGATAGTAAAAAAAGTTTTTTATTCGAATCGAATACGTATGTATTTAATAGAAGAAGTGTGTATGCAGACGTGCAGAATCTACCCGTGTACGCGAACGATCGTTCGCGAGAAATTTCTGAAAATTTAATAGCATCTAAGAAAATTTTTTTGACAAATATTTTCTCCCATAGAGAGAATTTTTCAAATGAATTGCATTTTATTTATATACAGGATAGATTAACAGTAAGGAAACACAATATTTTTTTTAAAATTTCGTCTCTATACATGAATAATAAAATCTCTTATTTATATCATATTTACTAGATAGTGATGGTCACTTGTATAACATGTTATCAGTCTCGAGGCTCAATAGTTTATTTCAAAAGTGAATCAATATATTTTGTATACTCTTTTGTGACTGTAGAAAAATTGATTATTTTTACTTTTTTTGTTTGATTGAAACAATTTGAAGAATAAATTGAATAGTAAGAGTCAGACGAAAAGTGATTATCAAATTCTACAAGAAAGCAATAAGTCTTATTCCAGTCACACAGGAGTACATGAGATAAATCGATGTGGCTTTGAAACAAACTCTTGAGTCCAGAGACGAATGATATGCGACGCTCCTGACTACCACTACCTACTAGTATATGTGCTATAAACAAGAGATTTTCTTATTCATGTGTAGAGACAAAATTAAAAAAATATTGTGTTTTCTTACTTTTGGTTCATTCTGTACACATCGATAAAGCCTTCTAACTGTTGGGGCAAAAGTTTTGCATTAATTTTGTTTTTGATGTAACGCTGTAATGGAATCTCGTAGAGATTTCATCTTTTTTTTTGTTTGAAAGAGTGAAGTGTCTAGTGCAAAATTATATAGATGAATATCATTGAAAATATTTAATTAGAGACTA